GGCTGCATTGGGAGGAGCATTGCCAGCAGATCGAGGGAAGTGATTCTTCCCCTCTATTCAGCACCGGGGAGGCCACATCTGGAGTCCTGTGTTCAGTTTTGCACGCTCCACTACAGAAAGGATGTGGACACATTGGAGAGAGTCCAGCGGTGTGCAATGAAAATGGTTGGGGGCTGGAGGACAGGACTGGTGAGGAGAGGAGGAGGGAACCGGGTTTGTTTAGTCTGGAAAAGAGAAGACTGAGGGGGATTGAATAGCAGCTTTCAACTCCTTGCAGGAGGGTTGCAAAGAGGATGGAGCTGGACTGTTCCCAGTGGGGGCAGATGACAGGACAAGGAGCAATGGGCTCAAGTTGCAGCAAGGGAAGCTGAGGTTGGATTTTAGGAAAAACTCTCATGAGGAGGGTAGTAAAACACTGGAACAGGTCACCCAGAGAGGTGGTGAAGTCTCTATCCTCAGAGGTTTCTAAGACACAGGTAGACAAAGCCTTGGCTGGGATGATGTAGTTGGGGCTGGTCCTGCTCTGAGCAGGGGCTTGGACTAGATGTGACCTCCTGAGCTCCCTCCCAGCCCTCGTGATCTATGATTCTATGATTTCATGCAAATCAGAAGCAATGCTTCCACTCTATTCAGCACTGATGAAGCCTGACATAGAGAACTATGAGCACCCCACTTTAAGAAAGATGTGGACAGACTGGGAAAAGCTCAGAGATCAACAAAAATGATTACAGGTCTCAGAGCCCTGAGGTACAAGAACTGGCATTATTTAGTGTGGTAAAGAGAAGACTGGTGAGGGATTCAATAACAGTTTTCAAAGACAGAAATAAAGAAAGTTGTTATGAAAAGGATGATGAACAACCACCCTCTTCTCCACAGGGGACAAGAGAAGTAATGGACTTCTTTTTGGAACAAGGGAAATTTAGGCTGCATATAGCAAGGCCTTTCCGATTATGAAAGTGATTAATTATTGTAACTTACTGAGAGAGCCTGTAGAATTTCCATCAATGGAAGTTAAGTGAAGAATAGGCAAACATTTGGCTGGAATGGTTTAGAAAGGATGATCCTGCCTTGAGGAGGGATCTGGACTAAAAGACCTCCTGAGGTCCCTTATTGGGCACCTATACATGTACAGCGAGGCTGTTTGACATGCTGTAATTACAGCACATGGGAGCAGACTTGATTAATCAAGTCTGCTGGAGTGTGGTAACTATCACAGACTCCAGCATCACATGTATCAGCATCCCCGTGCTGAAAAATGGCAGCACAGAATCATAGAAATGCAGGGCTGGAAGAGACCTCAAAAGATCATTGAGTCCAACCCCCCTGCTCTGGGCAGGAAGACTGCTGAGATCAAATGGTCCCAGCAAGGTGTCTGTCCAGTCTCCTCTTAAAGACGTCCAAGGTTGGGGACTGCACCACCTCCTTGGGAAGTCTAGTCCAGACTCGGGTCACCTGTACTGTACAGAAGTTCTTCCTTACATCCAATCTAAAACCATCCTCTAACAGTTTATAGCCATTGCTCCTTGTCCTCCCCTGGTGTGCCCTAGTGAACAGGTTTTCTCCCAGTTCCTGATATTTACCCCTTACACATTTATAGACGGCCACAAAGTCCCCCTCTGTCATCTCTTCCCCAGGATGAACAGTCCCAGATCCTTTAGTCTTTCCTCATGAGGTTTGTCCTCCAGGCCCTTAATCATTCGTGTGGCCTTTCAAGATACTTCATGTCTTCCTTGAAGCGCGGCACCCAGAACTGGACACAGTACAGCAGCTGGGCTCTCACCAGCGCTGAGTAGAGAGGAAGTATCACTTCCTTACCCTGCTTGAGATATACTAGCTAATGCATCCCAGGATGCTGTTAGCTCTGTTGACTACAGCATTGCACTGGCAGTTCATGTTCATCCTGTGATCAATCATAACCCCGAGGTCCCTTTCAGCCATCATGCTGGCCAGGACATCTCCTTCAAACCTATATCTGTGTTTCTGGTTACATCTCCCCAGATGAAGTGCTCTGCATTTATCTTTATTGAACTGCATCCAGTTCCCCTCTGCCCACCTGTCCAGCTTGTCCAGGTCTGCTTGGATCCACATCCTATCCCCTAGTGTGACCGCTTTTCCCCATAACTTAGTAACATCTGCAAACTTGGCCAGCATGTTTATCACATCCTCCTCTAAATCATAGATAAAGAGGTTGAACAGCACAGGGCCAAGAACTGAACCCCACAGGACACCAGTGGCCACCTCCCACCAAGACAATACGAACCCATCTAATAACACTCTCTGGGTTTGACCCCTTAGCCAGTTCCCAACCCACCTGATCGTGGACTCTGCCAGCCCACAATCCTCCAGTTCTTTTATAAAAGCATCACGGGAGACCATATCAAAGGCCTTTTTAAAATCCAAGTATATGACATCAACCGCATCTCTCACATCTAAGCAGTTTGTTACTTGATCATGGAAGGAGACGAGGTTGGTCAGACACAACCTGCCTGCAATAAAACCATGCTGGCTATCCTTCAGCATCATGCCTTCTGCCAGACTCTCACAAATAACATCTTAATACTTTTTCCCAAAATTTTACCCAGTATCAAGGTCAAACTGACTGGCCTATAGTTTCCTGGATCCTCTCTCCTCCCCTTCTTAAAGACTGGCACATTGGCCCTTTTCCAGTCTTCCAGGACCTCTCCTGAGCACTACAAGTCTTCAAATCCCTTCGCCAATGGTCCTGCAATGACTCCAGCCAATTCCCTCTGCACTCTTGGGTGTAGTCCATCTGGTCCTGCCAACCTGAAGATATTTGGCCGCTCTAAGTGCTCCCTCACCAGTTCAACACTGACCATTGGTTGGTAATCGCCCACCTGCATCTGTCCAGTATCCGACCAGGTGGGCAACCACCATTTGGAAGCAGGAACACTGACGCAAAGTATTCATGAAAGAGTTCAGCTTTCTCCTGACTGTCTGTTATCAGCTCTCCCGGGCCACTCTGCAGGGGCCCCACATTTCCTTTGGTCTTCCTCCTGCTCCCTATATACCTAAAGAAGGACGTCTTATTGTCTTTTGATCACCAACCTGATCTCGGTTGCTGCCCTTGCCTTCCTTCTCTTCTCCCTACGAATATGGACTATACTTGTGTATTCCTCCTTAGTGACTACCCCTTGTTTCCACTGTCTGTAAGCCTCCTTTTTCTTTCTAAAGCATTTCTTGATGCCTTGGGTAAGCCAAAAGGACTTCCCAGCCCCTTTATCACCTTTGCTGGACACAGAAATGGACCTTTTCTGTGCTCTGAGGATCGACCACCCTTCCTGAACTCCCCTCCCCTCCAGTCCCTCGTCCCATAGGGTCTCTCCCACTATTTTCCTAAGCCCATTGAAGTCGTCCTTCCTGAAGTCAAGCACCTCTGCCCTACTGGCTGACATCCCTGCCCTAAAATGGATAGTGAATTCTATCACCTCATTCAACGAGCTTTAGTAAAAGCACCCCTGCCGCCATTTGTCAGTGCAGGGACGTGGATACACATGATGCTCTGGACACTTTAATTAGAGCTGCTCTAATTAAAGTGCCTTCCCCACTCCCAGAGCACGTGTATAAATGCCCTTTTCTGACCTACTTTCGTACGGTTCTAAGATAGGCAACCTTTTTTCCCCTCAATGTAAGCAAAGTTCTGCCCTGGACAGCACAAGTTTGTTTGCATGCAACGATTTGTTTGTTGCTGCGTTTTGACTTTGTACAGCCTTCTGTACATTCAATAGCTATTTTTATTGCTCACAACATTCAATTGGATGTATTATTTCTTAAAAACAACTGAAAATGTGTTGACACTCATGGACTTGAATCTCTCGCTGTTCAGTAAAATCTCAGCCCCCTCTGTCATCAGATGCTCACATGCACGGTAGCAAAATCCATGCGTAGTAAACTCCCATCATGCCTTCTTCTAAAAACGTATCTGCCACTTGTCAGTTGTTTCTGCACTTGCTCTTACCCTGTGGCGAATAAATGCTGAACTGCAGTAGCTAAGCCATCAGTGCCCTCACTTGCAGATTGCTGTATGCAAAACTTGCAACAGGCGTCAGGTGTAGACATGTCCTGAGAGCTACTGAGTAGAGTTCTAGGTGTTTAGTATCTCTCAGGATACCTTTTGACAGCACAATGGTCTTTAAGAGCAGATAAGCAATATAAAGCTAAACTGAGAATAAGCAACCTGACTTTGAGTTATTTAAAGAAGAGTTTCTCAACTGCATGTAGAAGAGTTAAAAAAGCTGTTATACAGAATATTAAAGATGATCTACATAAAAAAATACTTTGTACGCTTTTAGCCAGTTATAAAAATGGAATAACAAGTTGGGCTGTTTTATTTAAAGATAACTTTTTCCTGTTTGTTTTTGACATCTTACATTACAGGTCTCTACTATGGGTAACAAGAGAGTTTATGGCATCAGAGATACCATGGAAAGAGGCCATGTTTAAGGAGGGGAGTGATTTTTATTCAGAGGATTTACAACCCTGTGGTTTCTGTCTGTACCTGTTAAGTCAAATACTTAGGAAGAAAAGCTCTTCGTTGAGACATCAGAATTATTGCCCCCTCAATTATGGGCTAAAAAAAGGCCTTCCAGAACTCATTTCTCAGTTACACAAGGAGTCTTTTAATAGAAATATGAAAGTCAAGCTTGAAATTTCTGATATTTCCAGGGAATAAAACAAGATGATGTCCTTTTAAGCTCACCTTTCAAGCCCCCCTTTATACTTCATAAAGAAGATAAAAATATTGCAAACTCATTTTTCCCCCTTTCAGGTTAAAACCGAAACAGCAGCTTTTCAAAAAATATCCAGAGAAACAAGAAATGAAATAACTGAAGGGAAATGAAACAAAGTCTCTAGGAAAAAAGGAGATTTTAAAAGGAACTGGAAAATATACAGCAGTTTGGCCGTTTTCTTGTCCATTGGTTTAGCTCCTGTTTCCCAATGAGGTCTATTCATCTCACACATTTTATTAAATGCTATCATACCTCTTTCCTAGATGCTGCCCCAGAATCACCTGCAGAGCCTACTACGTCATCAAAAGATGGTGTCTCCAAACCATGTTTGTCCTGTATGTATTATAGCCTAGAAAGGAAAATTAGACACTTAACTCCAGTCCTACATTTCCCAGATTCTCCACAACCTCGTGAGCTGATTTGGTAGGATACTGAGTGACAGTACAATACTGGCACCTAATGAAATGCAGAAGAGCATTTATTATCAGACTGCTCATTGGCAAACAATACCCGAGAGAGTTTCATGCTACCCAGTGCTTTGGGACCCAATTAATGCTTTTAGGAGTTATTGCATCAACCTGATTCACGCTTCCTGCCCCTTCTGCAAGGAAGAGGCCATAAGCTCAGTCTGAGGATGTCCAAATGCAGAACAATGCCACTCCAGTTGTTCTTTTAAAATTCTGGAAAAACATGGATTTGGGACATATGGTGCCAGTTACCGCTCTGACAGACTGCAGGGAGTAGGCGACTGTTCTTTCTATAGTCCGAATGGGCACTTTTTACTTGGTTATATTCCTTGTTTGCCAACAGACATTAGTGGAATGCTGAGCTATGTAATTGCCAATGCCAAACAATGCTACTTTCACATTTTCTAGCAGTAAAAGATTTGAAAATAAGCAAAGTTATTAGGTTCAATGAGGAACAACTCACCTGATGAATACTGGTATGATTTACTAAAGTGAAGGAATCTGAGTACAAAACCCTCTGAATATGCCAAAGGCTTTTGGTTTGATTGTTTATTATTATTATAATTTAAAAATAGCTGAAACCCTTCTCTCCCACTCAGATCTGCAGTAAAAAAACCCAGACAAACAAGACAAAAGCATCCCTCCCAGGCTGAGGCCATGATACCAGGGAGTATTTGATTATTCTTCTTTTCTCCTGAAGTGTATAACACTGTATTGATAGCTAGATGCTCCATGCAGCCCAGGAGCACGTTGTGAAACTCCCCTGAGTCTGGGCTTCCAACTCCTTCACCTCCCACTTATCAAAATCAAAGATACAGACTTGTGAGTTCCTGACTCCAGGGTCTGTCCTGATAAAAGCATCTTAATCCTAACAATACCTAGGTAATGATTTCAATTTTTAAATGCTCTTTCTACCCACCCTGGACAGCAAGTTAACGGTACCTTGCTAATAGAAACTGTATTCTGTGAACAGACACATTCATCTACATAAAGGAAAGGTGATTTTTTTGCTATTGCCTTTTTGGAATATCTGATTCTATGTATTAGGCACTGATTTATTTTCACTGATGAGTTACAGCTGCACTGACAGCCAAGTCACACATGCTTATCTTGAAAGAAAGTCAAGGAAATAAGAGGGGAAGGAAAAATGCCCTATGCTTTTGTGGCTGTTATTTGAAAGTTCTCTACTGCTTAGACACAAATTTAATTTTCATCTGGCTGCCTTGGCAGGAAGATCAGACATCTACTTGTTGTTAACAAAAACCAAGGGATACATTACCTGCTGTTTGGTACTTCAGCAGGAAACCCAGTAAGACGTTCTGGTGCCTTTTGTTGACTTCCGCAGCAGATGAAATTTCCCCTAGCCCCCTCTTTTGCCAACACAGGACATTACCCATTATATAACCTCCAGCACTGGTTTTAAATTTAAATATATCATTAAAAGAACTCTCAGGCCCCAGCACCTACCAAGGGATTGTAGCAGGCTCAGCGATAATGTTTTCTGCTACTTGCCTCGCAATGTAACAGCTAGGCATGCTCTGCCAACCTCCAGGCTCGATTCCTACCATTCCCTTTTTGCTGGGTTGTTGGTGAGGCTGAGCTGCTCCTTACAGCTTGCTCAGAAATGCCGTGGCTTGCTTGCTGATCTGAGCTGTCATGATCATATTCAGCCAGCTCAGCATTCTGCGTGCCGGCTGCCCAGTATGTGGTCAATTCAGTGCAAGGCAGCTTCTGTGAGCATGCAAAGTTATGAAGGGGATGGACCCTGTTTTAATCAAGACCTCCTCCTGAGGACCTTCCCCTGGGCTTCTGTGCTCATCTACCTCTTGGTGTTCGGAGCGTCTGCTTTTGCACTTGAAGACAGCAGGCAACTAAGCTTGTGCCAAGGCAACCCCGATGATGAGGAGCTCGCTCCTGCAGAAATCCAGCTCATCTTCCTCCGTGAAGATTTGGGGCGCCTCTCCAGTTAGGGATTCTGTTTTAGCAGATGAACATGGCATAGGCGTGTCTGACTGCAAACTCCCTCCGGATGGTAAAGCTGGTCTTTCCCTCCTGTCTGAAAGCATCCAAAATGCACCAGCCTGGAGTGAGCAGCAGAGGGGCTTTGATGGAACGGCAGCACCCCTGAAATGTAAAAACACTGACAGTACACTAGCTCCTACGGAGGAGCACCGGATTGTCAGGGGAGAGGTTTCCTTGGCAACAGAGTCACCTGGCAGAGGACTGTGATCACCTGGAGAAAGCTTGGGGCCAAATTGCCTGATTGAGGGACTGGGAAGTTACAGAGGGGAAGGAGCTCAGGCTGCAAGGGGAGCTGCCAGTACCAGGGCTCTGATGGGGCAGAGGGATCCCCTCTGGACACAAGCTGACCTCTGGGCCTGGCATGGGAAGGGTGAGTTAAGTGAAGCCATTTGCATGTAGGAAGCAGGCTGTTTTGTCTCCTGCTCTGTAACTGCCTGTCTCTCTCTTGAAATGAGAGCAATGGTACACTTAGAAACACTGCGCAAAGCCTTGCCCTACCTGTGTGCATTGCTCCCTGCAGAGACCAGCCGCAGAGCAGAAGGCTCACCCCTTCTGTGAGCACCTTGGACAGAATGTCTTCAGGGTGAGCTCTTGGGACTGGGCCCGGGGGTGGGAGGCCGGACTGCGAGTCCCAGTTTCCAGGATAAGCTGCTAGACAAAAAGCGTGCATGTCTGCATCCTGGGAATGCACCTACAAGCTAAGGGCTGTGCCAAGACTCTGTGGTATCTAAACCAAGCCCTACTCCTCCAAGATGGGCAGGATGCCCCAGCCAGATGCCACTGCACCAAGCTTTTAAAAACCAACCCTAAAAACCTACTTTTCCATTGATTTGTTTCTACATCTCTTGGGCTTAAAAGTTTTTATATAACAAGATTGCTTTATAGTGATTGCCGTGCTTGTGTACGTGAGGGGAGCAGCACGTCTCAAATTATTCAGCCTAATTCTTTCTCTGCTTAAATTCATCCCATTAACTCCACTCCTTCTAATCCTTAAACCTGGTCTCAGGCTTGACTCACAAGTTAGGTTCAAATGCTATAGACATTCCTGTAAGAGAAGG